CCCCCACCCTGTGAGGACAGTAACCCACCCCTGCCTGCCCCCACCCTTGTGAGGACACCCAGCAAACTGTCTGAACTGCCAGCTTTTGAGAGCCTCATTGAAGAAGCAGCCAGGGCCTTCAGGCTAGAGTTTCCCCCCAGCCCCTGCTGTTCCCTGGCAGGTTCTGAACAGAAAGCCCCTGTCTGCTGCCAGAGAACATTCCACTGGGGAGTTCTAGTGGGCAGAAGGGGACTCCTGCTCTTGCCTTGGGCCACCCAAGAGCCACACTGCCTTCCTTCTCCAGCGATAGCTTGCCTCTTCTTGGCTAGCTCAGAGCCTGAGGGACTGGCAGACCAGGTGGGGTTGTGCCGCCCCTTGGCTCCTTCTCGGGGTACAGGAATGGAGCCCGTAATCCCCTTTGTTTTTCTTCCTTATTCTGGCCTCCTCATTTGAGGGGACTTACCTCATCCTGGAAAGTCCCCTCTCCTCCTCCTGCCTCCCACTAAGCAGCACCCAGGCAGCAGAGGCAAGCCTTCCTGGCCCCAGTGTTCCACGGGGCAGTGGAACGTTAGCAGGCTTCCCAGGCCTCTGGAGGACCTTCTGGCCCTCCCCCAGCTGCCTGTGGCAGAGCCTGACCCTCCCTCCCTTTGTCCTAATGTGCTTGAGGCAAAGAGAGCTCTCTTACCTCCCAGGGGCCAGCTCTCCCAGGGCCACACAAGCCTCAGACTCAGGGTAGATAGAACTCCTCAGAGCTGGTCACCCGAACAGAACTATGTCTTCCTCCCCCATGGCAGGGATCCAGCTTGATCAATTAATTCATTTACATATTCCAAGGTTATCAAGCACCCAATCTGTGGCAACCAGTCACCCCTACAAGTCACTTCCTCAAAGGCCCGGCTCCCCCATTCAGTCAGGCCAAAGCCAGCTAGCTGCCCAGAAGGGCTTCCGGAGAGGGCCTTGTCACACTGCAGTGGCATCATGCCAGGCTGCTGCTTTGAGCTTGGGTGCGGAGTGCGCAGGAGGGGGGTCCAGGCAAGAGAGACAGGAGCCGAGAGGAGCTTTGGAAAGTAGGTCACTAAAAATGACTTCTTCTCTTCCCGCTCTCCTGCCCATAGGCTATCCCCATCCCCTGCCCAGTCTCCACTTTGTCCTGGGTCTCCAGGCCTCCATGAGAGGGAGGGCAGAGGGAGCCACCAGGAAGTGTCGGTTTGTCTACCCTCAGCCCAGCCCCAGGCAGGCTGGAACATGATTCTGGCCTCCTCTCCCTGGCCCTGAGTTGCAGCCTAGCCCTGAGGCAGTGGGAGGTGTGAGGGCTTCTGCACTAACCCAAGTCAGTGAGAAGGGACTGAGCACCAGTGTGTGCTAAGCTACATGAAGGTTCTAGAACCCAGAAGGAATAAGAAGTCAGTTTCTCCCCTCTCCCAAACAGAAGGCCCCAGGTAAGAGAGAAATTAACTGCAAAGCTGTCTTAGATTTCTGATTTGGACGACCTCGGCTGTCATGTGGGATCACTGAGCAGAGAACCCTGCAAAGCAGGGTGAAGAGGGCGGTGGGTAGTGAAGGATTTCTCCTTCCAGGGATGTACACAAACCACCTTCAGCCTACTACAGGTTACCTCCCAGCAGGGTCACTTTTGGGGTCTGACAGGGGCCGACTACAAACTCCGGCCTTGTTGACTCTTTGACAGAGCTGTGGAGGACAGGTTCTAGAATCCTCCCCACACTAACCTCAGAGAGAGCCCGTGACAAGGACAGGCATCTTCCTGTAATATCTGCCCCCTGCTGGGTCCCTATCCTCCAGCCCCAGGGCCTCAGGGAGCAGATTCCTCACATGCTTGTGGCTGGAGGCAGAACCAAGGAAAAGAGCAGGAGGGAGGTCGGAAGAACTAGAAAAACACGCCTTCTCCAGTCTGATGGGCTACTGGCTGTGTGGGAAGAAAGGAGCACCTGGACCAGCCACATGCACTCACGTTCGTGTACACACACACACGCACACGCACACGCACACGCACACACACACACACACCTGGGTCTAGCATGGGAGGCCTCCAGTAGCCTGTCTTGTCCCCAGCATCCTAGGGACAGGTCTGGCCGGTGTTCTGCCTCTCTCTGGGTACCACTGTCTTAGAAGGCAATGGAGTCCGCTAACCAGAGCATTCAGGCTCTGTGCTTGCTCCCTCCACAGTTTAAACTTCCCAGAGAGTACAGCTGGCCCGAAAAGAAGCTCAAAGTCTCCATCCTCCCTGATGTGGTGTTCGACAGTCCGCTGCACTAGCCTGGGCTAGGCCCTGCAGGGGCCAAGAGGGGCTCAGCGCCCCCAGTGACTTCAGTGGGACAGCTGTGTAAAGGACGAGTGTGAGGAGGACCGCAGAGCGCTGCACCCGCCACAGGCCCCACCTCACCTCCAGCTCAGGGGCCTCACGCCCAGCTGCCGAGCCCACGTGACCAGGCCTCTGTCCTACACGCCAGTGGGTGAGTGAGGCTGCACCTGCAAACCTCCCCACCCACCTGCTGCTGCCGCAGGTTCAACTGACGTGCTCCGAGGAAGGGACAGCCGTGCCAGACTGCCAGTTCAACCCCAGCAGCCTTTGCGCACGCAGTCAGGCTGCTCCAGCCTGTGGAACGATTGCTCCTGTCACGGTTGTTGTTCCTTCCTTAGTTTGTTGTGGAAACCCGACGGTCTTCTTACTGCTCAGCAAAGATGGTCCAGAAGCCATGTCTATAGTGGATTTTAAACAGGACTTTATTTAGATGAACTTTGTCATTCTCTTAGACAGGGGTCTGGGGGCTCTGCCTCCCCCACACCCTCTGCCCAAGAAGGTGCCTGGTGCTGTCTGTCAGCTCTGAGCCCTGGAGGAGCTTGAGCTAGGGAACAGCCTGGGGGCCAGATATGCTATGGCCTAGAAGGGTGCCACTGCCTTCCAAATGAACTAGGCTTCCACGAGGCTCTGAGGACAGTAGGCACTCAAGGACATGGTGGTCCCAGCTTTGTCTTCCAGCCCTTTCTACCCAACCAGGCCTGCCAAGGAGAGGGTAAAGCCCACTGCCCCCATCCTGCTCCTCAGGGCCTCCAGCTCTTTGATTTCCCCGTCCCCTGGATTCGCAGCCCCGCTGGGCTGTAAGGACTTTAGCTTATTAAAAACGGAAACGTCAACCTCTCCTCGTCCCTTTCATGTTAATTCTGCTGACACCGCTCTCTGTGGCCCTCCATCCTTCCCACATCCATTCTTTACTCATTCTTCATCCTTGCCTTTCCCTGTAGCCTGGCCCCTTGTGTGGGCCTCATCCTTTTTTTCTTTTTCGAGACAGGGTTTCTATGTATAGCTTTGGAGTCTGTCCTGGAACTCGCTCTGTAGACCAGGGTGGCCTCGAACTCACAGAGATCCGCCTTGCTCTGCCTCCCGAGTGCTGGGATTAAAGCGGTGTGCCACCACCGCCCAGCTGTGGGCTCGTTCTTTCACCCCCAGAACTGTAGATCTGCACGCCTTCCAGGAGCCAGCCTGTCTCTGGCCACATTGGAGGGCTGCTTTTGAGGTACCCCCCACTTCCGTCCGACCTGGCATTGGCACGCCCCTTTGCTGCATGCCTGCCTTCCCCTCTAGGTCTGGGGTTCTTTCTTCATCCTTTAAGTTCATATCTCTCCAAAGGAAAGGCATTTTGTCTGTCAGGGACTTTGAAAGAGCTCCACCACTCTGCCTCCACCACCTAAGACGTGCGGCCAGGGTACCACAGGAGGCCAAAGAGCTGCCTGCAGGGCCCTCAAGGAACCTAAGCTGTTAACTCCAAGGCCAGCACTCTGAGAGGCTGGCTGCAGGCCCCCAGCAGCCAGGATACCAGCCTCTCTGGAGCAGACACCATGCTGCCGGAGACGTTCCCACAAGGGACACTTCCAACCCTGCCTTTTGAAAGCTCTTGTCTTCTGAAAGTTCGGGCCAAGAGATGCTCTCAGTTTACCTCCATTCCTTCTCCTCTTGACCAGTGTGGTAGTAATTCCCCTCCCCCATTCTCCCGGAGACCTGCCTAAGGGCCCCTGCTGCATTCTGCCCTACCTCCATTGGCCTGGCTTGGGGGCGAGAATGTGAGCTATGAGCTGCCTTTGTCCTTAGTGTGTGTGACTCCTGGTCAACTGCTTGCCCGAGGCCTACAAGGTCTTTGCAGACTGGTGGTTGCCACCACCTGCTTGGTGGCCCTATTGAGGAGCAGGGAAATGGCAGGCAAGCTCCAAAGAGATGTCAACAGGGCCTGAGGTCTCTCCTGCCTCGATCCTGTCAGGAACCTCAGGAATGTCTAAAATCCTGCTGGGACCAGAACCCAGCATTCCTTAGTGCAGTGGCTCTCAGAGGCCTGGTGTGACCAGGCCTCCTTTCCCTTGGGCTCTGGTTTCTTCCAGAGGGTTCTCAGGGAACAGGTTCGCCCACTGGGCTGCTGCCTAGGAAGGAGGGCCCCTAACATCAATGGAGCAAGACCTACCTTGTCATGGCACATGATGGGTGCTCTGTACGGGGGCCTTCCTTTCCCTCCCTGCAGCCCTGTGGGGCTGTTAGCCCATCCTGAGGAGGGGTTCAGGAGTGTACCCCCCTCCCCCTGGTCTTCCTCCAGGCTGTCCCCATCCTTGGACCTTCCAGGTCCTCGGGACCAGAGCTTCCGAAAGGAAGGACCTCTGCCCTCCTGTTAACTAGAGCTCCCCTGGGCCTAGGTGGGCCGTAGAGGGTCGCAATGCCGGCTGCCACACTGGGGAACAGTGTTCTCCTCTTCCAAGTGTGGCATGCTGCCACAGGGCCTGTGGGGGCCTTGGGTGCCCAAAGGGGCCAGGACATCTGCAGTCCAGACCCTGGGTGCTGGGACTGAGTTTTGAGATTGAGTTGAGAGCAGGGAGAGGGTCTGAAGTTTGTGCCCCTATGGGGTGGACCAGCCCATTACTCCCTGAACTGTATTTTTTTAATGTCTTCCCTCCCTGGCTTCCCGGATCTCGGTGCCAGGTGAGGGGTCTGGGTCCCTGTTACAAGTCAGGAGCCCTATAGGGAGACCCCTTCTTTTGTACAGAGATCTGAATGCTGCGATGAGCAGACTTTTGTACATTTTTATATTAGTTTTTAATGTCAGTGGCGACTCAGTTCCTGGGGCTACAGCTGGCTCAGGACTTTTGTAAGACATTTTGAGTGACTCACTTAGATTTTGTTCCCACTTGCCCCTCTTCCTCTGTAATCTAAGTGCATTAAACATATCTGCAGAAGTGTCCGCTTGTGTGCTTCTTTCTGGCATACGAGGGTGTGTGTGTGTGTGTGTGTGTGTAGTGTGAGATGTGAATAGCTTGCTGTTGTGTGGTTGGTGTGTGTGTGAGAGAGAGAGAGATAGATGAGATGTGGATGACATCAGGATTCGAACCCATGGCCTTGCTGCATGCTAGGCAAATGCTCCACCACTGAGTTCTATCTCTAGCCCTCATTTGAGTTGCTGCTTTCTGGATGCCTAAAGTAAAGGAGTGAAATCAGCACCCTGGCAACCACTTAGAAGTGGAATGAGACAGGCGGTGGCGGCGCGCGCCTTTAATCCCAGCACTCGGGAGGCAGAGGCAGGCGGATCTCTGTGAGTTCGAGGCCAGCCTGGGCTACAGAGTGAGCTCCCGGAAAGGCGCAAAGCTACACAGAGAAACCCTGTCTCGAAAAACCAAAGAAAGAAAGTGGAATGAGCCCAAGGGGTGATGCTGGAAGTCCAGGGGTGCCAAGGGGTGCTAAGATTAAACACACACACACACACACACACACACACACACACACACACACACACACACACACACACAGCCTTCCTTTGTAGATCTTGTTTCCCTTAAGGTCAAGGGGGGTTGGGGCTGGAACCTAGTCTTCCGCAACGGGTGGGTGGGACCTTTTCTCTGCTGTTTCACTACTGCATTCCTCTTTGGATTTCCGTTGCTGCTGCTGCTGCTGATTTGTTTGAGAGGGCTTCTTACTGTATAGCCCAAATTGCCTCAGCCCCCCGAGTGCTGGAATCACAGGGGTGGTGCCCAACCACACCTCTAACTGTTTATTCCTCGTCTTCCCACGTTATCAGTACACTTTTCCCTTGGTTCCAGAGGCATCCAAAGCTGAGAAGAGCAGGCCTTCCTTACCTCCGGTTCTGGGAGTCTTCTCCCTAACAGCTAGCCACTCTCTACTAGGGATCTAAATTCCACCTCCTCTTCAAGGCCTGGGGCTGCACTCAGATCTGGAAAATCTCCAAACCAGATGACGCAGGCCAGCTCCCCCTTCTAACTAGGTAAAGAGGCAGGGTGGTACACCATTCTCCCCCGGGCAGCCTGATGGCATCTGCCTTTTGAGGGCCCTGTATCAATAGAGTCCAACGCTGGAGGAGGGGAGAGCAGCCTAGGCGTGGCAGCATCAGCATCCACACAGGATTCTGGGAACCCCCCCGGAACCACCGGAGGCCTTCCACATTCTTCCCCTTTGTGCTAGGCCTAGTTTTCTGTCCTAGCAAATGGCAGGGCCAGCCAGGCAGTGGTGGCCTACGCCTTTAATCCCAGCACTGGGGAGGCAGAGGCAGGCGGATCTTTGTGAGACCAGCCTGGTTCCAGGACAGCCTGGGCTACACAGAGAAACACTGTCTCAAAAAAACAAACAAGAAAAATGGCAGGGCCTTTCTCCTGATCTTCAGAATGGGCTGGTGGCACTTGGGGGACTCCTCCAAGACTAGTGACAGTCCTGAGACGTCACAAGGCAGAGGGAGGGGGTGTTAAAACCCGTTCCTCTTTTCCTACGACTCTTAACTATCTGGAGACCTTCCCAAGAAGGAAGTCAGTGTCCATCTTTCCCTGTGACATCTTCTCGAACTCTGGGAATGGCTGGCCCCTGAGCAATGGAGTAGGTCGTGCCTGGGCCCTTGGTCCCTCTGGTGCCCAGGACAAGATAACAAGTGGGAGGTGTCTGAGGCCCGATTGATAGGCCCAGGGGATTCCAGGCCATGCCTTTCCTCTTAACTCACCCTCTTCACCTAACTGACCGGGAAAGCCCAGGAGTCAGAGCAGGGAGGTCCCGTGCCGGTGTCTCTGGGAGACACACAGTACCAGGCCAAGGGTGTCTAGAAAGACAGAGACTTTCTGGAGACCCAATCTCTAGAGCAGAAAGCTCATTCTTAAAGACTTAGGAGAGATCTGCAGCATGCTCTTGATGTCTCCTCTAGGAAGACCTGGTTACTGTGGCATCTATTCCGCCTCCTCTGGTCTTTCAGTGGGAGCTGCTGCTCCAGCACCATGGGGCTGACGAGAGATTTGCCAAACTGGCCCAACCACAAGGGAATGCAAGCTGGAAGTGACTGCCCAGCCTGCCAGGCACTGAGGCAGCTGCCGGCACAGAGGGAGGAGGGAGTGGGAGGCTGGGGTGGGGTGAGGGTGTGATTTGCTGAGCAGAATGAAGCGATGGGTTCCCAGCCTGCAGAGGCAGGTCAGGATGTGGTCTGGGAGGGGCGGCCTGGGGGGGGGGGCACAGTGGACCTGAGCCAGTCCTTTGCTGACTCAGGAAATCTGGGAGAGGCTAGTGAGAGGTTTCTGCACTTGCTGCCAAGCCTGGTGACCTGAATTAGAACACCCCCAAACCCACATGGTAGGAGAGAACTGACAACCGTAGTCTTCTAGCCTGACACTGGCATCATGGCATGTGTGCATGCGCACACATAAATATTTAGATTTTTTTTTTTTTTGGAGGGGGGCTGTTGTGAGACATTTTCTCCATATAGCTTTGACATGCCTGGAACCCCCAGT